AGGCAGGATTTTCTTAGATATTCGTGTAGTATTAGAATATTTATAGTATTTAACTATGACATTAATCTGTGCTAGAATCAATATTTGGCATTTTCATGAAAGGGCTGCCACGTTGAAGATCTATTGTCTCACCTGTCAATTTGCCTTCATCAGCATCCACAAAGGCAAGTTCATCACTCAAGCCCTAAAAGACAAAGGGGTAGGGTAGCTCCTGATTCATTGTAGAATGAAAGAAAATTCTTATACTTGCCATCTGTATATACCTTGTGAATTATTAGAAGACATAATAAATCTGTTCAATATTTCATCATGATATAAAAGTCCAAAAAGAAGAGATACAACTTACAAACAGGTAAGTTTCAGCTCACAATTAGGAAAACAAAACCAGAAACTGTTTAATAAAAGTCTTTGATGGTAGTGAACATCTCTTCAATTTAAGCTGAGGCTACACAATGATAAAGCAGGGATTCTGTAGAAATTTTTCTCACCAGACTATGAGCTTTTTTGAAAATAGGCAGTTTTACTCACCTCCACTTATCTAGTGCTTAGCATCTATTTGGCACATAGGAGCTCAATAAAAGTTTTTTAAATAAATGGAGTGACATGTAAGGTCTCTTCCGACTGTAAAAATTTATAGTTCTCTAATCAGGCAATGGTACCTGCAAAAATAATCAGTATTACATATTTCTAGCACACAGCTTTATTTGTAAAAAGGGAAAATAATGTTTGTATTTGTAGAATACTAGAGGATTCCACACAAGAAACTAATCTAAATGGTTGCCTAAGGCAGATGTTGGGGGAAAGGCTGAATGGAAACTGGATGAAAGTGTGACTTCTCCATGTGTATCTTTTTGTTACTTTTATGTGTAACCTTGTAAATGTATTACCTTTTGGAAATAATGATTTAAATACATATTCTTTTAACTTTACTATATATATTAAAATTTTCATTGAAAAAAAGACTGTTCTAGTACTTAGAAATAAATGATTAAGTATCTATAATTTAAGTATATATCCAAGTTATATTGTTGGATCTTTTTACTTTATTCTAATTAATGGAAATCCAAAGCCAAGCACTTTGAATATGAGACTAGATTGTAACTGATTAGCCTAGAAATCTAAACTGTATCACAAAGAAAAAGCTGTGGTTTAATGAGATGCCAATGCTTTGAGTATACTCTGAATTATTCAGAGATTGGAGCAGTATGGAATGGAATTATGCAGCATTGATGAAATTATCTTTAAAAGATCGTTTTAAAAATATACTGTAAGTCTGGTAGCAAGGAGCACACCCAGCACCCAGACTTTGGTTTAATACAATTATAAACCAAATATATTATAATTGTATTATAAACCTAATAAAAAGAACCAGGCTCCTTGGCAGAAAGGTTGATTCAAGCTAAAAATATACAAAATGAAGAAGCCAAAACATAGTGCCAGAAAGTAAGGAGGTGCTCAAAACAAAAACCCTATGTTAATGGGGTATGTCAAAGAGACACAGTAGCCAACTAAATGAGCTCCCAATGGCCAAAGCTGGGACAATCTGAGACACAAAATAAATATGTATTGGGTTATAACCCAAAATATAAAATAAAATCAGTGAGTCCATACTACTAACAAATGACTGGATAGGGAAAAACAAATCTATGCAGAAGAATGCCACATAAGTTATGTAGATACTGAAGAGGGAGCATAACTCCCCACTCTTTAAGTGTGGCTTGCACACAGGGACTTCCTTCCAAAGAGCACAATATGGAAAGGGGAGGGAGTGGTAACTTACAGAGAGAAAACCATAACTTCTAGAAAAAGAAGCCCACTCTGGTGGAACAATTAAAAAGGGCACCTGTTCCTCAGGGTTAAGTAAGATAGGGCCCCCACTCACCCTCTTGAACTGGACACAGCCTGCACAACCATATACGATCACCTTGCCTCCAACCAAGGAAACCTTGGTTAACCCTATGGCACAGAGCATATAACTTACTTTTTATTTTTTTTATTTTTTATTATTTTTTTTTAGGCGAGGCAACCCTTGGTTGACCTCACAGAGTGCAAGGACCTTGTCATCTTACAATCCTTTATTTTTTTATTTTACTTTTTATGCCTACAGCTCCTGGTCTTCCTAGGTATAACTTACTTTTAATAAGAGGCTGATCGCACAGGCCATACCAACCTATCCAGTTCCTATAATGGAGATCTAATTGTGATGAATGGTCTCTTCTGAATTTCTTAACACTTGACAGTCGCCATCTTGGAAAACTAATAGAGAAAAAACTGTAAAGCTACTTTCAGATTAGGAATTGGTCTGTAGTGAGAGGGGGCATAGAAAGACCTCCTGGGATCCAGTGGGGAAGGAGGTGGCTTCAGGCACAACAGGGAATGACAAAAATAAATGTTAAAAAAAGCCTGGTAGTTTCCTGCCAGCATCCCATCAATCAGGAGGCAAACCAAGGGGAAGAGGATATACAGGTAAGAGGGAATGAAGGAAGGATAGGGGGCTGCTCCACCAAAGACAAGATTACATCCAGGATGGCTCTTCCTCTCCTCCCCACCCTCGTTTACACCCTCCCCCACCCCAGCTCTCAGCTCCAGGACCAAGGTCTGAGTCCACAGGTCCAGGGCCAAGGACTAGCAGGCACAAGGTACCTCTGGCCACACTCATACGGAAGAAGCCCTGAGTGGGCTGCATGCCGCTCGGAAGGGACACAGAGCCATCCTCCGGCGAAAGAAATTCACTCCCGCAGTGTCCACTCTCCGGCTAGACCACAGGACTCCCGCAACCCAGCTCATGACCACTCACTCAAGAGGTAGAGGGAGAATGAAGGAAAGCTAGGTGAGGTCCAAGAAGAAAAACAGTCGTTTACAGAGTCTGTGCAAGCCGTGCCCTTCTGGCGAGGCCTCATGGAGGACTAGCACACCTGGCGCAGTGTGCATGCACCTGCACCTGCTCCCTGTCACCTGCGCACCAGCCAACGGGTTCAGGGTTCTGTATTTGGCGGGCTGCAAAGAGGCTCCTTGGGCTCCAAGCACAGGAGGTACAGCAGGCACAATGAACCACAGAGCCTCAGCTAACAAAAGGAGTGCCGCTTTCCCAGAACGCATCCACCAGAGAGCCCAAGTACATTTATTTTTAACCAAACCTTGCCTGGATATATCCGGTAAGGGCTTTTGACATTTGACTGGGGCTGTAGGAGAAAGAGACCTCAGAGCTACTTTTTAGCACCCACGAATGTGAGCTGAAGCAGAAAAAAAATTTAAAAGCCCTCACTATGCAATGGAGATTTTTAAATAAGACACAAAATCCTAAGAATTTAATCAGTGCAGCGCTGTAAGTGGAAGGGAAAGCTCAACTCGTTGTTTATGAAGTCATTAAGTGTAGAACCCAAATCCCGCTCTCATCCCTTAGTCTGCGATAAGCCAATGTTTCCCTGGTCTCTTCTCCCACTGTGTTCCACTTAATTAACTGTTTTCTAACTCATTTATGAATCATTAATACATAATACACATCTGACAAATTATTGTATAAAATGTCGAGCAGTGTTTCTCAACCTTTTTTTTTTTCATTATCTCTCCCTCAAGAGCCTTTTTAGACATTTTCCCACAACTGTTCAGCTTTCTCTCCCCACCCCCGCCCCCCGCCCAATTGTGAATTAAATATTAAGGAATAAGATGATTTTGTCTGGTTAGGGTTGAGCTTTGAAGAGCCAAACCCTTGTAATATCTAATTTTTTTCACACACACCCCCCCGAAAAAACAATTTTCACCCTCTTGGGGGCAATATTGCCCCCCACTGAGAATACATGATGTAAATCAGTTTAACATCCTAGAATATTCCCTGTAGAAACTATTTTACAGCCTTTCAATCTCTGCCAGGATTTTCGAAAATGAAGTTTAATTTGGTGTACAAAAGGGAGCTTAAAAAAAAAACAAACAATGCAAAATCCACAGAAGACTCTCCTTTCCCCTATTCTACCTAAACTCCCTCTCATGACTATAGTTTGTACAGAGATTTTAAAAAAAAAAGAACAAAATAACAGGAAACTAATCATGTTCAGTAGCAGATGACTAGAATGAAAGCTATTCAGATAGCAAGAATAACAGAGGGTGAGCTGTGACTCTCTGACCAAATGGGTGCACTTGCAACTGGAGCCCTGCAAATCCCCAGGGCCTGCATATCTGCCTTCTGATTTTTCCCACTGGTCTAGTATAATTGGCCCTGGTTTCTTACTTTTTGTTTCATTGTATATTTCCTATAGCTGTGTTAAATTCTTTGTAGAATCAAGGAAATACGTATATACATATATGTCATGTATGTATTTGTATATATAAATCAAAAGAAACACATGTACTCCTACCCTGGACACCAAGAGGGAGCTACCAATTGGCTGTTATCAAGCATTCATCAATCAATTAGTTGATGTACTCTAAATACTCGCTGTGAGATACTTGAGGGCAGAAATCATGTAATATTGACCTCATAACCACAGCACAAAGAATAATAGTAGTTTCCTGAACGAATGCCCTAGAGTATGGTCTAAGCTCCCTGTATAGTATTTCAACAGAGAAACCAAATAAACAATTTGAATTTATATGAATTGGTATAATACTTGCAGGGTTGAAGATATTAAAAATTTTTTATACCATAAAGTTATATTTCTATTTTCCTTCTGATATCCATGGTCTTAAAAGTACTTAATCAAGATTATAGACATATGAAGCTAATGAAGCAATATCAAGTGAATATGCTGGTGCCCCAAGAGAAAACAGCATGAGATGAAATTTCAATATTAGAAAAAAATTGCTTGTTTTTAAGAATCTTAACTTCTATATTATAATAATTATATATATTCTTTGAAACCTAAAGGCAACTCTTACATATATGACATACCTCAGAAGTATAACTTACATCTGTACAAACTGGGTATCATTAGAATATAGTTATAAGAGATTCATAAAGAGGAGAAATATCCTTTTTCTAGCCTTGAGAAACTGGAGTTATACTGTAAGTCACCAACATGTTTTTATTTTTTACAGATCAGATGAAAATACTTTCAAAATGTAAAATATACAGTCTGTTATGTTGTTTTATAACAGTGGAACATTAAAAGGCTTTAAAATACCAGGTCTTTTTGGACATTCCAAAGTGTGTTTGCACTCTTCTTAAAAAGGGCCTCCTCCACAGAATTCAAGTTAACTTTCACAATATCTGAGACACCATTTTGCCCCAAGATACAAGGGATACTGAGAAAGATTTCTTCTTTTATTCCATATAAGCCCTGAAAGGCAAAATTAGATCATTATTCAGTAACCTGATACAGAGAAGCAGCTATGCAAGAGAGCTTCAGAATAAGAGTATACTGGAGAGACTACGGAGCACAAGAATCACTCAGAGGGTAGTGGAGTGATCGTCAACAATATCAGGAGCATCCTAATGTCCTATAACTGTGTGGAACTTATGCTCAAGTGACATAAAAAATGTGCCAGAGGCCTCAAAGGGACCAAGAAAGGCATTGTCTACCCTTTACCAGGTCATCCTTCTGTCCAAGGAAAAGGATGCCATGCAGTCCCTCATGATTTCATTTTATCTGATGAAGAACTGTGAAATCAAGTACCCTGTGTTTGGCATAAACTACATCAAGAGAGCAATGACATCTGAAACAAGTGGCGGCTGGAAAGGCTCTGCTTTGTACAAGCTAGTCTTTACACCAGGGGGCGCCATTGAGTTTGGACAATGGATGCTACAGGTGGCATCTCAAGTCTTCAGACGTGCAGCTTCCAATGGAACCTATGGGTACTCTTTCATGTCCATCGGGCCCCCACGATTGCCAATGGAATGTACCCCTTCCCTCTTGGCTACCTCCATGCACCGCCACCACTGGACTTCTATCTTGGACTTCTCACGATGGACAGGAACCATGGAATAGGTGCAGTCATAGCCCTAATGTTCCCTACTCTCCTGTAGCTCAATCCAAGGACACAGAAGCAGCTGCCAGAGCCTTTTAAAACTTGGGCAATCCACACAAGGCCTACGTGCTCATAAACAAGCCTCTGCCTCCTCCCTACTATCCTTTGGACGATTCCCTACACTCCTGTAGCTCAATCCAAGGACACAGAAGCAGCTGCCAGAGCCTTTTAAAACTTGGGCAATCCACACAAGGCCTACGTGCTCATAAACAAGCCTCTGCCTCCTCCCTACTATCCTTTGGACGATAAGAAGACCCAGTAGACCCCTCGTACCTCTCTGCCTCCACCACTTATTGCTCTTTCCTACACCGCCCTTTGGGGTTGAGTCTAGAGTTAGAGGAGGCAATGGGATGGTCTTCTTCCTCCAGGTCTGATTATAAACAGTTACCAAGAACTAGCATTCAGGGAAGGGAGAGGCCCCTTGACTCTGGCATGATGCCTCCCAGCTTCCCATGATAGCTCAGAACTCATAGGCACTATTCAGCCAAGTTTTCCTCTCACCACTTCTGGGGCTTTCCTCAGGAGCTCAGGGTATGCCCCTTGCTCCTGTCTCACTACAGTCACCCACAGAGGGACTCTCTGGCCACCTCCTCCACTGAAGTCCAGTTGCCTCATTTTGGTAGCTACTTTATATTCAACCTCATGAGCTCAACCACACGTCTTCCTCTGAGGGCCCCCTGCCAGGCTGCACTCACATTCACTCCATTTGGTCCGTGCCTAACCACGAAAGGCCACTGCCCCACCAGACTATCAGCCCACATTCTATTCCAAGCCTAGCTCCAGCTCCAGTTACACTCACCTACCCTTCATTTTCTTGTCCTTGGTCATTCTGTTGCAACCTCTGTGTAACTTTTGAAGCTTTAACATGAGCTTCCAGGGGTTGGGTGGCATCAGGAACAAGGCCACTGTGGTTGCAGAACAAAGTCCTCTACTTTCCTGCCAGTGTTTCGGGAATTTGTTTCCCTCTACTTTCTGTCTTCCTTCTAGAAGGAGCTTCTCAGACTAGAATGTATGTCCATCCCATCATGCCACTTGGGGGCTGCTGGGTGGGCTGGAAACAAGAGCCCTGATCCCTGGGGCCTGGCTCAATGTACTGACCATGACCTAACGCCATCCCTTCAGCCTACCCTGTTCCTTTCTGTGGTCTGACCCTGCTTGCTTCTCCAGCTTCATGATGCACCTTCCTTTGCTCCCTCTGCTCTCTACATTTTAACAACTGACCTTTTTCTTTGATCCTCAAGTGCTCTCTACTTATATCTACCTCAGCTCCTATGCACCTGTGTTCCCTCTGCTTGGAATATTAGTCCGGCCTTCCAAATTAACTCTTACTCAGATTAGATCACATTTTACTTCCTTGGAAAGACTTCCCTAACCACCACACATGTCTCCTTCTCAGAAGAGTTAAATTCTTTTCTTATATACTCTTAGCACTTTTTAATTTTTCATCAAACGTAATTTGTTATTATGTATTTTCTTTTGTAATTGTTTTATTAAGTCCATTTCTTTCATTAAATTGTGAGGTCAGGGCCTCTGTCTATTTTGTTTACCATTATATCCTCAACATCTTGTATAATGCCTAGCACATAGTAAGGACTCAACAAATAATAAAGGAACAGGAAATATTAAATAAAGATTCAATTTAAGCCTACCTTAACCATAGTGGAAACTGGATGTACTCTCCTGAGATTTTTCAAAATTGATCCTACCAGATCTGCCACAGATAGGCCAATAGCCCAAGAGGTATACCCTTTCAGCTTGATAATCTCATAGGCACTACAGTTTTAGAAAGTAATAAAATCAAGTTAATGAGACGTCAACGCAGACAAAACAATATTTTTCTAGAATCCATTTTAAAGCAACCTACATATCAATGCCACTCTATTAAAATTTTCTGAGATTTCTTCTACAAATTATTTATGAATAGGCAATATGGGTTGTTATACTACTCTTATAAACTTTATTATTCACTTTAAGTAACAATTCACCCTTTTTAAATCATATGTACCACTCAAGTGAAATAAAATTAGTTTTAAACTTTTTGTATGACTGCTTAAATTTCCAAACATAGAATCTGATCCCCTTAAAAGTTAACATATACATCTTGCTAACCACTTAAAATTGATACTAGGGTGTAATGTATATAAGTCATGTGCATATATTTTTCCTAAGAATATATCATTAAGTTAATAATATATGAAAATATGGAAAAATGTTCATGATATCTTTTCAAAGGAAAACAGCAAAGTCCTAAACATTATGCAATTTCTTATCTCAGGCTTGTAAAAAACGTAATATATTTTTATGAGAACTTTAGAATTGCATCAATCCACCAAGTTATAAATAGTGACTTTTTTGAGTGACAGGCTCACAGATGATATTCTTCTTTATATTTTCTTAAATTTTCTTGTTTTCTGCAATAAAATATTTTTGCATTACCACCAACAGGGGCCTTGGGTTTGGATTGACAGTCAAACTCAAAGAACAAAGAGGTTTTAACAAAGCACTGAGTTTTATTTAATTTTGAGAAAAGGATCCAGACAGGAAAAACAGAATGAACAGCATCATTATTTGTATCTGATGGTCCTGCAACCACCTATGCAGAGTTTAGAGGCACCAGAACTACACACAACACACTTGGTTGCAAAAGATAAGACTGATGTATAAATGGACCGCCTTAGCACACATAAGTTGGGCCTGGACTGTACTTATTGTGGTGTGCTGTGATTTAACTGTCGATCCAGAACCAGGGCACCATTGAATCCATGAAGATTGGTGTCAAAATTAGGATTAGCTTTCAGACTCTCAATTCAATACAACCAAGACTCTGTGGGGTATGTAAAAGGAAAAGGAGAGGAAGTGATCGATTAACTGATGGTATATAAGTTGAAGAAAGCTCTGCAGTAGATAACTGGGAACAAATCTTATCAGTAGAATCTAGATAACAGATTTATCCTCCTAGGAATTAACAAAATGGCTTGAGAAAAAAAATGAAGGTTGAGAAGAAAATGGCTAAAACCATAATCCTTCAGCTGTTATTAACCATCCTAATAAAAATAAAACTGCTGGTGTAAAAGGACAGCTAAAGGGAACAAATAGAACAAGTACTTTTAAGGTTGATATTTTAATACAAAAACTGATTCATATTGTAAACTAAATGCTCAGTTGGGAACCTGGAAGGAAATCCTATTAAATATCCTATTAATCCTAAAAAAAAAAAAAAAAAAAAAAAATCAGAGACTATGCTATAAAAGAATTGAGTAGTTTTTAGATAAATACTAGCAGTATCCTGAGGATTCTTTATAATTATAGATCCTCTGGTAAATGACCAAGAGTCAAATAATTTAATTTTGGCTACTGCATTGTTGAGAGGACTAAATAGAATGAATACTGATCTGTAATGTGTTACAGTATTTGGTATTCAAATCACATAGTACTTCAGTGGGAAATGCAATCTTAATCATTCTCTTAGAGCAACAGTGTTTCAAATTAAGAAAGAACAAATATTTCCTGTGGTATAATTATTGGGAAGAGAAAAGACTAAAACTGTGATATCCCTACAAGAAACAGATGGGCTGCTCCATGACATTTGGAAACCAGCATTGGCTAAAATACAGTCCTTAGTTGGCTGGGTTATGGCTGTGCCTCCAGATCAGGTAGATTCCTACATTTACTGGGAAATGGCCTCTAATGGCACCTATAACATGATATATGGGATAAGGGACATTTTTATTGAGGACAGGAAATGATATAGTAACAGTAACATATGTTTTATTTGCTAGGCATCCATTTAATCTCTCTTCAAAGCTATTTGATGTAACAAAGGGTTTGTAAATTCCCTTAAGGAAATTTAAAAAAATAAAACATAAACATAATAATAACAATTACAAAACTGAAAAGATATTTTGAGAAATTGACCTAAAACTTCCAGTTAATGTAATCTCTATGGAAACAGTTTATCCAGAAGAGAAAATAAATTTGCTTTAGAGATATTAAACACAATTAGATGTGTCTATCAATACCTTTAAAAACATACATGTGATAGTAAATAAAAAAGGGAAATAAGATAATCCAATTACTTAAGAATTACCCTGTGAGGGATTCTAGTTACCTGTTGGATCTTATAGACCCTTTCAGTTATACTAGCTTGTCTTTTTCTGTATATAGAACACTAAAGATATGTTTGTCAAATGAACTCTGAGGAATATATGATCCAAAGATAATCACCCAGCTCATGGAGCGGTATCATGGGTAAAGGGTTAACATGGTATGGACTCTTTCCAAAAAAGCAAGAATATCCAGAAAGAGGACCTTGAGTTTGCTTTTGCACAAAACAGTTTTCTAGACCTTTTAAAAAAAAAAAAAAATTAGTTAAGCAATGGACAATTGTGGGAAGATGGCAAAGTAGGAATCACCAGAAATCTATCTTCCTACCTAGATAATAATTACACTACCAGAATCTGTCTGATATAACTATTTTGGAGCTCTGATGTCTTTTGAAGGCTTGAAACTTCCAGGGGAAGGTTTATATGGTAAATTGTGGTTAATTTCAACCAATTTAAGCTCTTAGCATAGTAGCAGCTACCCATTCCCATGCCCTCTCACTCCCAAGCAGGCAGCTATGCATGTGTTCCCAAAGCAGCTTGCTTACAGCCTGCAAAAAGGACCCTATCCTCCAAATATCAGGGGTCTGTGTTCTAATGGCTGATTGCTGCTTCTGATGACAGAGGTGTAGACAAAGAGGCAGGAATCACTGTTGTAGCACCTCCCATCAACTATTGCAAGGCCTTCATCCTCTGGCTAACATGACCTCCAGGAAATGTAAAAGGCAAGCGCCCTCCCCTCAATTCGTTTTTCTCTCTTTCCTCTTTTGGGAGCTGGAAATAAAGACTAGAACATACAAAAGCAATTGCATACAGGAAAAACAAAACAAAACAGAAAGTAACCATGCATGCCCAGAGAAAGGCACAGGCTCAGAAATGACCTAAAAGAACTCAAGATACACTGATCCTTGGCACAGAGACAGACTTTAACAATCAAAAAATAATAACAGCAGCAACAGCAAACTCTGGGGAAGGAAGAGAATCTGATTTGCAAAGTTACCACATTTACTGAATTCAAATGCACAGTTTTCAACCAAAAAAAGCATACAAATAAATAGGAAAGTATGGCCCATTCAAAGAAGAAAAAATAAATCAATAGAAACTCTCCCTGAAAAAGACCTGATGGCAGTTATACCAGACAGACTTTAAAACAACTGTCTTAAAGATGTTCAAATAACTAGAGAAAGATGTGGAGAAAATCAAGAAAATGATAAATGAACAAAATGAAAATACCTATGAAGAAACAGAAAACCTAAAAAGAAACCCCCCACTCCAAAAATTCTAGAACTGAAAAGCACCAGTCACGTGTCACAAAACAGGATTTAGGCCGATGGGCCACATATACAATGGAAGTCTCATAAGATTATAAAGGACCTGAAAAATTCCCATCCCCTAATGAAATCGTAGCTGTGGTCAGAGCGCAATGCATTATTCATGTGTTTGTGGTAATACTGGTTTAAACAAACCTGCTGTGTTGACAGTTACATAAAAGTATAATACATACAATTATGTTTAGTACATAAAAAATGATAATGATAATAAATGACTATGTTACTGGTTCGTGTATTTACTATTCTATACTTTTTATCATTAGAAAGTGCTCTTTCTACTTATAAAAAAAAACAAACAAACACAAGTTTGCCATAAAACAGTAGGCTGTGTTATACTAGCAGTGGCCTCCTACATCTCCTGTTCACCATGTCTCTTGACTGCATCATTTTCTCTTGTGTTTAATTTAATATCACGATGATTTGTACACTAACATGCTGTACAGGCTTGTACCCTAAGGGCAATAGGCTATACCATATAGACTACATGTGTAGTAGTGTAGTATCATCTAGGTTTGTGTAAGTACACTCTACGATGTTCTCAAAATGACAAAATCACCTAACAATGCATTTCTCAGAATGTATTTTCATTGTTAAGCAACACGTGACTGTAATTGAAATGAAAAACTCATTAGAGGGATTCTAAGAGTAGTCAAAATCAGAGACAGAAAATATAATGTTGTTTGTCAGGGCCTGGGGAGAGGGGGAAATGGGATTGTTGCACAGGTATGGAGTTTCAGTTTTACAAGATGAAAGAGATACAAAATGGATGGTGGTGATGGTTACATAACATTATGAATGCTTTTAATACCAGTCTACCATACACTTAAAAAAGATTAAAGATGGTAATTTTATGTGTATCGTATCACAATAAAAAATTGGAAAAAAGAAAATACATAGATTAGTTAAGATAAATGTTAAATATTAACCATAATAGAACTAGGTTATCAGCATTGTATATTATGTTAACCTTTGATCTGTGCATTGCACCAGGACTAAAAGACTGAGCAAACATGCAGATCCTGAGGACTATGTAACAAGAACTATATTAAAAAGTGTTACGAGAGGATATAAAAAAGAGGCCACATCAAGACTGAAAACAAAAACTGTTGGGAAACAACACTAAGCATCAGAGAAGTTCAAATTAAAATCACACAGATATCACCTCACACTTGTCAGAATGGCTATCACCAATAAATCAACAAAGAACAAGTGGTGAAGATGTGGAGAAAAGGGAACTCTTATGCCCTGTTGGTGGGACTGCAAATGGATGAAGCCACTATGAAAAACACTATGGAGGTTCCTCAAAAAATTAAAAAAGGAATTACGTTACGACCCAGCAATTCCAATTCTGAGTATTTATCCTAAAAAATCCAAAATACTAATTTGAAAAAAACATATGCATCCCTATGATCGTTGCAGCATTATTTACAATAGCCTAGATATGGAAGCAACCTAAGCATCCGTCAATAGACTACTGGATAAAAAACATGTGAAACATATATACAATAAAATATTACTTGGCCATTAAAAAAATGAAATCTTACCATTTGCAACAACATGGATGGATCTAAAGGGTATTATGCTAAGTGAAATAAGTCAGACAGAAAATACAAATACCATATGATTTCACTTACATGTGAAGTCTAAAAACAAAATAAACAAACAAATGAAACAGAAACAGACTCAAAGATACAACAAACAAACTTATGGTTGCCAGATGGGAGAGGGTTGGGGGACAGGGTGAAAAGGCAAAGGGATTAAGAAGGACAAATTGGCAGTTACAAAACAGTCACAGAGATGTAAAGTAGAGCAAAGGGAATATAATTCAATAATATTGTAGTAACTGTGTATGGTGCCAGGTGGATACCAAACTTACAGGGAGGGATCACTTCGTAAGTTCTATAAATGTCTAACACTATGCTGTACATCTGAAACTAATATAAAATAATACTGAATGTCAACTGTAATTGGGAAAAAAAGTATTGGGAAATAAAGGCAGCATCTTTCCTTTTCCTTTGCAACTGAGTGTGCCCCACATAGTGACAGGGCCTGAAAGCTATACCTAAGCATTTGTAATACCTCCTAAAGAAAATGCTAATAGTCTATACTGTGTTTTCTGTCCAGTATCCTTTCACCAAGCTTGACAAACTTAATGCTAGGTTAAAACCTATTATGTCCTATTAATTTGATAGTCTGAACTTCAAACCACTATTGATAGCCATGTTCTTTATTTTTTTTAATTGTGGTAAAAGTTGCCATTTTACCCATTTTAAGCATACAGGTTCAATGGCAGTAAGTACATAAACACTGTTGTACAACTATTACCATGATCTTCTCTAGAACTTTTTCATTTTCCCAAACTGAAACTCTGCACGCATTAAAGTGATCATGTGCTTTCAAGATCAGGAAACAATTTTTCCTACTAAAAGTCATTTAGAAAATAAAAACTTAACCATAATCACTTTTTTTTTATATTGTGACTTTTTAGTCTCTGCACTAAATCTTACACATTTTAATAGTTGTTATCATAAATACACTACATTACACTTGAGCTTTTGTAAATTTTATAAATATTTTATAAATTTTGTAAATATTTTGGTTTAGAATATCCAAAAGTGACTTTTAATATCTATAACTTCTACTAATATATAACTTGGCTAAAGCATGAAAAAGAATCATGTGTGCTGTTTAGGCTGATGTATACTGAGTCAGACACTTCATTTATAAGTAAATCTAGTTGCCTTCTGATCATCTGCATTAGCTTTGTGTTTTTTTTCCACATTTAAGTTCTAGTTGCTGTTCTAAGCATTTTACACATAGTGACTCATTTAATCTTCATAATAGCCCTCCTAAGGGTGGGCTCTATTATTATCCCAATATTAAAGACTTGGAAACTGAGCTTTTGAAATTTTAAATAACTTCCCATTATCACACCACTAATAAATGGTGAAGCCAGGTTTCAAACCTGGACAACCTGGTTCCAAATTCCAAGCTCATAATCACTTGCTAATTACCCTTAAATTCATATAAGCTCTTGTGAAGTACATTTTCTTTTTGAAAAGTATCCCCTAAATAAAGTTCTGTAGGATATAAGTCTGAATTTGAGGGCTTTTCAGAAGGTTAGTTATCTCACACACAAAAAAAAGATTAACTATATATTTTTGTCTGTGAAATTTGTTCTTAAGACTTATTATTAATGCATTAAGAAATTGCATGAATATTGTTACCTTTCAACAACTTGTTTGTGGATATTTTTCCATTGGTCCTTGTCTGAATCAGTTCCTAATTCAGGGTCTAGAGTTTTCAGAGCAACACCAGCAACATTCACTCCACTCCATAAGGGCACTAAAATAAATAAATAAACAAACAAACACACACACACACACACACACACCACCCCCTCAGAATGAACTCTTCTTCCTAGTACTGCATCAGTTATTTGAGTTTAGTAATTTTTTAAATAAAATAAGGATACTACCTTATACCATATATAAAAATAAGTTTCAGACAGAAAAAGGAAAATGTAAAAAATAAATTATAAGTGTTAGAAAAATATGTAGTAGAATTTATATATAATTATGTGATATAGGAGGCATTTTAAAGAAAGGTGTAAGTACAGAATCCACAAAGAAAAGAATGGTTAAGAAAAGATAAAATATTATAAGCAATAAAGGATAGAGCAACAAATTAATACCATACTTATCAACAGTAACAAAGAACTGAGGGAGAATAACTGTTAATCTAGAATATCATACCCAGTTAAACTGTCACTCAAGAATGAGGTGACAGTAAAACACTCACATAAAAGCACTGACAGGATATACTCCAGGAAGAAAGAATTAAAGGAGTTAGATACAGAAAATAAAGATAAGCAATAAAATTGGCAAACATGTTCAAAAATTAAAACAGGTATTGACTACTCAAATAACAATAATTATAACTAGTTTGGGGGATATAAAAATAGGATGAACCAGAGAAGTGGTTAACAATTACATATACGACAGGAAGAAGGTGATCAAAAAACATTCCAAGGTCTTTGTATTGTTCCCCCCAAAAAATAAAGACATGAATTATTTCAAGGTCAAGTATGAATGCTAAAATTTATAGGCAACCACTTACAAAGTAAGTGTATAATCCAAAGTTTGTATGAAATTAAAGAAAGTTTAATTAAACAGAAAATGAGAAAACAGGAAAAGAGAAAAGAAACACTAAATCTCACTAAACAGAATACTAAATGTATTTGAATTAATACTAATCAGAATACACTGCTTTATTTTAAAATAAAATAATGGAATATTAAATGTGAGAAATTAAAACATATCTAGGAAAATTATTTTTAATAACTTTCAGGAGGAAAAGCTGAGTTAAGACAATAACACAAGCCAACAGGGTCAAATTAAGACACTGGTCAAAGAACTATTTGTCCAAATCAAATCAAAAGTATTTATTATACTACAACTCTCATAGTTTAAAGAAAAGGGAAGGGGTCATTAAATTCTTTGAATAAATGAATGAGTGATTGAAAGAATGAGCAAATGGTCCCTATCCTCAATGGGTTTATTGCCATAACAAAAAGATTTACACACAGGACACAATTAAAGAACACTGTAAGAAGTATAAAGTTCTAATTGCGCAGCAGAGCTTAAATGTTTAAGCTAAGAAAAGAAAACGGTTGGTGTGGCCTAAGTAATAATATTTAAATCACATATTATACAAATTTATTTATATGAAAGTCTGGAATAAATAAATCTGTAGAGTCAGAAAATAAATTGGCAGTTGCTTGGGATTAGGCTAAAAGTGAGTGCAAAAGTCAAAGTTTATTTTGGGGATGATGAAAATGTTCTATAATTAGATTGTAGTAATGACTGTACAACTCTGTGAATATACTAAAAACCAGTGAATTACATACTTTAAATGGGTGAATTTTATGGTATATGAATTATATCTTAATAACCCTGTTTAAAAAACAACAATAAATGAAAGTGCTCCAGATAAAAGAAACACTCATTGACTTTTAAAACAGCTCCATGCACAATGTATGAGTGGTAACTAAATCAATGGAGCAGAAGACTAAAAGTAAAGAAACAGAAAAAGATAGATACACCAGGGAAATATCAATAACATAAAAGTTGCATAGCTATATTAGTACCAGATAAAAAAGACAGTTACCCAAATAAACTTAATAAAAAAAAGAAAAAAGAAGACACTTCAAAGAAAATAAAATCATCAGAGATGAGAAATGTCATTACATAATGATAATAGGTTTATACTAACCACTAGAATCACCATGTTCTCCAATAATCCAACCATGGCAGCTAGTGGGATGGACACCCAACTTCTCTCCAATTAGGTAACGAAAACGGGCAGAGTCTAGATTACAACCACTTCCAATTACACGAGTGGCAGGTAAGCCACTTAGCTTCCAGACCACATATGTCAAAATATCCACTAGGAAGAACAATTTCTTGTTAGAAAAAGATTTATAGTAACTTCATTTTACAATTTGCTTTTCTGAATGGATCAAATGTCTTAGAGTAAAATACAGATTCATTACAGAGTTCTAAGTAAAGCAATCAACAAAGAACCATGGATAATTGCTCATATAAATTTTAAAAGGTTAAATTATTCACTATCAAAATTTTAAAACAAAAAAATTATCTTTTGAGATAATGTTTGTGCCTATCTATTTAATAATCAATTAGTTAATTCTACCTTCTTAAAATTACCCAGATTTTTCCTCTCCATCACCACAGCCTTATCTAAGCTATCAGCATCTCCTACCTAGGATAAAGCCACATGCATACCCCAGCGCTGTCTGCAGCTGTATGCATGCTCAAGAAAAACACAAGAAGATCCCAAGCACTAGCTCTGTCTGACCTTGAAGTTCTATGCAAGCAGGAAATGAAGGATAAGGCACAGCTGTAAACTGGCTGGCTAAGTGTTGAAGGCACTATACACGTAGCAAAAACTGGGGGATACTTTTTGGTTCAACATTTAAGGAAAGTTCTGTCCAATTGTTAGCTTATCACTAAACAAAAAGAACTGATGTCTGCGGCCAGGCACAACAAAGAATACAGAATTAGTTCATAAAAGTCATGAAACAAATAAATGACAATTACAACAAGCATCAACAAAGGAGGGAAAATCAGATTTACAGTTTTCATATTATAATATCTTTAATGTCCAGTTTTCAACAAAACCTTATGAGGCATGAAAGAAAACAAGGAAGTATGGACCATTCACAGGAAACAAAGCAATAGAAACGGTCCTTTAGGAACCCAAATTACTGAACAACTAACCTATCTACAAGTCCACTATTACTTCTACCTTTCCAATCTGCTGTTGAACCCCTCTACTAAATTTTCGTTTAACTTTTCAACTTCAGAATTTCTATTTAGTTCCTTTTTATAATTTCTATCTACTTATTAATATTCACTATTTGGTGAGACAGCAGTTTCATATGTCCTTTACTTCTATAGACATGGTTTGCTTTAGCTCCTCAAACATTTTTAAAATAGTTGATTTAAAGTATCTGTCTGGAGAATCTGTGTTCAGTGACTCTGACTAGAACTTCCAGAACAAAGTTGAATAGCAGTGGTGAAATCTGGCATCTTTGTCTTACTTGATCTTAGCAGGGAGAAATCTTTCAATCTTTCACCACTGAGTATGACGCTAGCTGTGGGTTTTTCATAAACAGCTTTTATCAGGTTGGAGAAATTTCCTTCTATACATAATTTACTAAAAGAGTCTTTTTTAAAATCCTGATTAGGTATTGAATTTTGTTGAATACTTTTTCTGCATCTATTAACCCTTTTATCATTATATTTTTTGTCTCTAATAATAATTTTTGTGTTAAAGTCTAATTTCTCTGTTATCAGTATGAAATGTCTTTTTCCATCTTTTTACTTTCAACTTATTTGTGTCTTTAAATCCAAAGTGAGCTACTTGCAACTAGGCAAGAAAAAGAAATACAAGGCATCCAAATTGATAAGGAAGAAGTAAAACTCTATTAGAAGACAACATAATCCTATATATAAAAAAATCCTAAAGAATCCACAAAAACTATTAGAGATAATAAATGAATTCAGTAAAATTGCAGGACATAAGATCAACACTCAAAAAGCAGTAGTATTTCTATACTCTAGCAATGAACAATCCAAAAAGGGAAATAAGAAACCAATTCAATTTACAGCAGAATCAAAAATAATACTTAGGAATAAATTTCACCAAAGAAATGCAAGACTTGTATACTGAAAACTATAAAACATTGCCAAAAAAAATTTTAAAAGACATAAAGAAATGGAAACACATCCTACGTGCATGGATCAGAAAAATCACTATTGTTAAGACGGCAACACTCCCCAAAGTGATTTACAGATTTGATTCCAATTCTATCAAAATTCCAAAGGCCTTGTTTTGTCAAAACGAAAAAAACCAATCCTAAAATGCATTTGAAATCACAAAGGGATCCAAACAGTGAAAACAATCTTGAAATAGAAGAATAAAGCTGAAGGACTTACACTTTCTGAGTTCAAAACTTACTCCAGAGTACAGTAATCAAAACAGAATGATACTGGCATAAAGACAGACATATCAATCAATGGAATAGAATTGAGAGTCCAGAAATAAACTCACTCACCTCTGGTCAACTGATTTTAGACAAGGGTGCTAAGACTATTTATTGGGGAAAGAATAATCTCTTCAACAAATATTGTTGAGACAATTGGATATCCACATGCAAAAGAATGAAGCTTGACTCTTACCTCACACCTTGTACAAAATGGATAAAAGACCTAAATATAAGAGCTACAAACAGAGGGGTAAATCTTCATGACCTGGGATTTGGCAATAATTTTTAGGTATGACACCAAAAGTACAAGTAACAAAAGGGGAAACAGATAAACCGGACTTCATTAAAATTAAACATTTTTGTGCATCAGCGTATACTATCAAAAGAGTGAAAAGACAATCCACAGAATGGGAGAATACATTTGTAAATCACATATCTGATAAAAGTCTTATATCCTGAAATAAAAAGAACTCTTATTATTCAACAACCAAAAGACAAACAACCCAATTTAAAAATGAGCAAAGAACTAGAACAGATGTTTTCCCAAAGATACACAAACAGCATTGAAAAGATGATCAATGCTAATGATTAGGCAGTAGGGAAATGCAAACTAAACCACAACGAACTATCACTTCACTTCCACTAGAATAGCTAAAATAAAAATATGAAAAATAACAAGTGCTGGTGGGGAGAACTGGAACATTTATACATTGCTGGTGGGACTGTAGAACAGTATAGCCACTATGGAAGACAGTTCGGTCATTATTCACTAATTAAACATAGAATTATCATATGACCCAGTATTTCTACTCCTAGGTATACACCCAAAAGAACTGAAAACAGGTGGTCAAACAAAAATTTGTATATAAATGTTCATAGCAGCTATTCCCACTAGCCAAAAGGTAGAAACAACTCAAATGTCCATCATCTGCTAGGTGGAGAAATGAAATATGGTATATCTATACAGTGTAATATTATTCAATCACAAAAAGGAATGAAGTACTGATGTATGCTGCAATATGGATCAACCTTGAAAACATTATTAAGTGAAAGAAGTCAGACACCAAAGGACAAATATTGTATGATCCTATTTATATTAAATATTCAGAATGGGTAAATCCATAGACACAGAAAGCCAAAAAAAAAAAGGTTGCCTGGGAACAGAGAAAGGGGTGAATGGGAAGTGACTGCTTAATGGGTACAGGGTTTCCATGTGGGGTGATGAAAACGTCTAGTGGTAGTGACTGCACAAAATAAAATTTACTTAACGCCACTGAATTATAAACTTTAAAAGGGTTAAAATGGTACATTTTGTTATGTATATTTTGCCACAATAAATAATAGATTTTAACTCAAAAATTATGACTAGAGACAAACACTTTATATGATGACGAAAGGGTCAACAGATGTAGAAAGAAGCATTTGACAAAATTTAACATCTCCACATAATTTTTTTAAAAAACTCTGCAATTATGAAAATTAGGGAATTTCTAGAAAAACTCACATTAAATACCAAACTCAGTAATGAAAGAGTGAATGCCTTCTCTATAAGATAAGGAATTAGGCAAGTATGTCCGTTCCCACGATGTTGTGCGAGGGCATCATGGACACATACTACTAATATCAGAGGGGATGCATATAAATAGTGTTTACTGGGGATAATCTTAGAAGCAGAGAAGTAGGGAACCACACTATGTATACTGAACTCACATTATTCCACAGCAGAGATTAGTCACAGATCTTCTGTATATAAAATGGCCAAGTACAGAGGAGCCTTCCTTGGCTGGCAAGTTTCTCTTGAAACTCTTCCAAGAACAAGAATGAGCCCTACCATCGCAGTAGCAAATATCTACATGTTAGCTTTGGAGGGGTAAGGGAACCCCTAGTTTCCTTAAGTAACAAGAAATTTATCAAAGAATAGCTGGGTCCAGGAACAATGGTAAGGAGAATGCATTTCCAGAGCCAAAAATCTATATAATGAGAACCGTGGAAAGAACCTTGCATGCCAGAAATGCTGACATCAGCTGAAGATCTGCTGTCTCCACAGGCTGGCTCAGTTCAGCTCACCAAGCTCTCTGATAAGCTACCGAAATAAGGGAGGAAATCAGACATCAGAGTGATGTAGAGTTGTCTTTCGTTGCTACTTATATTCACCATTGTTCTGGAGGTCCTAACCAGTGAAATGAGGCAAGAAAATAAAAGTATTCATATTGGAAAGGAAGAATTAAAACTAGTAAAACTGTGTTTGCAGATGACAATGATAATGTACAGAGAGTATCCTAAGACTTTAAAGAGAATTACTAGAATAAATTTAAAAATGTTTTAAGATACAAGGTCAATACATAAAAACCAACAGTATTTCCATATACTAGCAATAAACAATTGGAAATGACACGTAAAGAACAACTCCTTTTATAATGGCATCAAAAACGTGAAATATTTAGGGATATTTGTTGAGGACGTGGAAAAAAGGGAACCCTTGTTTCTCTTGGTGGGAATGTAAACTATGACAGCCACTATGGAAAACACTATAAAGGTTCCTCAAAAAATTAAAAATAGAACTACTATATGACCCAGCAATCCTACTTCTGAGTACATATCCAAAGGAAATGAAATCAGTACCTCGAAGAAATATCTGCACTTCCATGTTCATTGCAGTATTATTCAAATAGCCAAGATATGGAACAACCTAAGTGTCTCTCTATGGATGTGGCATACACATATACAATGGAGTATTCAGCTACAAGAAGGAAATCCTGCCACTTGTGACAACATGGATAGATCTTATGTGTGGAATCTGAAAAAAATGAACTCATAAAAACAGAGTATAATGGTAGTTGCCAAAGGTTGGGGAAGGGAGAATAATAGGGAGACGTCAGTCAAAGAATAGACTTAAACTTCCAGATATAAGATGAATAAGTTCTGGGGATCTAATATATGACACTGGTGACTATAATTAACAATACTGTGTTATATATTTGAAAGCTGCTAAGAGTAAACCTTAAATGCTCTCACCACGATAAAGAAATGGCAATTACACTCATCCTTCTATATCTACAGGTTTCGCATCAGCAGATTCAACCAACCTAATGCAAATCAAAAATATTTGGAAAAAAAATTCCAGAGAGTTCTAAAAAGCAGAACTTGAATTTGCCATGCACTGAGCACTCTGCTGAATCCATGCAAATGAAGTAACATGTAGGCATACCCTGCTGCAATCTACATGCAAATATACGTTATATGCAACTACTATTCCATTTTATATAAAGGACTTGATCATCTGAAAATTTTGGTATTCATGGGGGGTCCTGGAGCCAATCCCCTGAGAATACCGAGGGATGACTGTATAAGAGGTGATTAAGGTGTTAACTAACCCTTCTGTGGTAATCATCTCACAATATATGTGTATCAAATCATCACACTGTACATCTTAAACTTAAATGTTTTGTGACAATTATATTTCAATAAAGCTGGAAAAAACTCATTGTATCGTATACTTTGAACGGATGCCGTTATTGTACATAAATGTTACCTCAATGAAGTTTGTTTGTTTTTTTTAATTGGTATGGCAAGACTATCCTTACTCAATTAAAAAAAGAAAAAAAAACTCACCTGGATTTGTAACAATAAGTATCTTACAATCAGGACTATGATGGACTAGAGAAGGAATGATTGATTTCATGATATTCACATTACGTTTTGACTTTCTCCCTCCTGCTGCCGTGCACCTGCTGTAACAATAACTAATTTGGAGTTTTCAGATACACTATAATCTAAAAGGGAAACAAAAGACAATATTTGGATCAAGATTGCCATAATCACCGTGCCTTAATTCTTTAAAAGTCTATTGTATGACCTTGGTATTAAAGTACTCATAATCTTGCATTTGGAGATAAACACACTTTCCAAGTAGTCATGTTATCTTGTATAATCTAAAGGAAGTCTTGTCACTATGACTTACTAATTTTCACACAGCTGTTTTTTAAAAATAATAACAGAACCTACTATCTTTTTAAGCCCACATTCTCATTTGTTATTAAGACCGGAGGCAATGCAAGTAAGCTCTCTGGCTTCTTAGAAACACCGTATGTATCAGAAGTTTAGAATTCTGACATTTTATGTATCTGTTTCAGGAATCTAAGGGCAAGAATGTATTTACTTCTAATTATTATAAGGGACTGGATTTGAGATCACAAGCAAGTTCTTGATCCATACAAGAAAATAAACTATCTTCTAAATCTGATGACTAGTTATAAAATTGTTTCACCTATTAAATCCACTGACAATAAGATATGATGCTCAGTATCCCATATTCAACATTTTTCTAAAGCAATATATACTTGGAAGTTATTTTTCATATGGATGTCAAAAATTAAATGAAATGAAATCTCCTCTATATCCCATCTCTATTTTAAAACTTATTTCTATGCTTTTGAAAAGGAAATTTACAAAAATATTATGGCATCTTCGGTTATAGTCATTTTCACTCTTCTAATCCAATTTTACAACCATAAACATTTTATGTTTTTCCTGCCCCAGTTAAGATTTTAATTAGAAAGACAACTTAGGAAGATGGCATTTCTTAGGCTGACATGTTTCACATAAATCTAAGAGATTATCTCTCCCTTCTATCAGGTAAAAGTTCTACAGGAGGAAGTTCTCTTCCCTTTCTGCACACAGTCTACTCATTCTTGCTCAAATACCTTGCTTGAAGCTCGCCTTCCATAGATTCCTACTTCACCACAGAAATCCAAAGTAATCTCTTAATCTCTTTCTCGTGTCTTTCCCCATTCCTTTTCCCCTTCTTTCTCCCCACCTCAACTTTTAGAGGATAAATGGAGAAAAACTCCTGTAACTTCTCTAGTCATCTCTCCACGGTTCAGGTTGATTATTGGAAATATTACGTCCAACAAATTCATTTGAAATGTATACCGAAGTAAAATATGGAGTCTTCATAATCTGCCTCAAAATTATCTAACTAGCTTTGTCTTAATTTTGTCAGATTTTCCAGGTGCCCTGATTCTGTTAATGCTATCATCACCCTACCTGTATTTTCCTTCCTAAATATAACTCAATCCTCTAAGAGACAGCAAACCATAATGGTCTGGAGCAAAAGCTCTGAGATCCAGCTGCCTATATTTTGACTGCCACTTCCTAGCTGTGTGACCCTGGACAAGTGTTTTGCCTGTTCCTCTGACCCTCAGTACCTCATCTGTAAGACTGAGCTAATAATAGTTTTTCCTTTAGATGATTTAGTGAGTTAATATACATAAAGTACTCAGAACAGTGCCTAGTACACAGTAAATGCTCAATAAATGTTAGCAATTATATTATTAGTCAAGTACTTCTTCAAACACCAATTCCCTTGCTGGGCATCTTCTAATCATATCATTCATAAATAGTACTCTCTTCACTGAATTTTTGTAGCTCTTATTTACTGCCTATAATTCTAAAATAGTCCTTATATATAGGGCCTTATGTTATCTTTCCATGATTGTCATTTTATACACCTAACTTGATCATATGATCCATAAAAACAAGTTCCGATCTCATATTTCTCCCTTTCTTGTCACTTTCTATGTTCCAGGCATTTGAGGTCTGCATTCACTATCATACATGAGAAAATTTAAAACACCTGTGGATAATCAATGACACTCCATTGCTCTTCCTCATTAGAGCTCACTAAATGTATTTTCAAAATGTTCTTGTGAACTATATCATTCATATAGAAGAGTGTATAAGAAATACATGTTCAAATTTTTTAAATATGTATTTGTTTTTACTCTTAAGGCATTTATTAAAACATTCTCTGCCAAGAATTCACATCAGCTTAAAATTCAAATCAGTCTTTACATTTCTCTGACGCTTCCACCTCAGCATACCACATAAAAACATGTTCTCTAGTAATCAGTGTTACCAGTATCTATTCACCGAGCCCCATGGTCAGCCTCTTTGTTCCCTAGGTGAATCAACTATACGTCAATACTGCTCTGCTACAAGGTAAAAGCTCCTAACTCAAACTTATTGGAAAAGGAGTAAAACTTCTGCAAAGTGCACTTTAAGAAGAGGTACTTTTTGCTTATGAAAAGAAACCAGTGAGTTCTCTAATAATAATAAAAGGGAGTATTTTAAAGTTAAGCACATGATTTGGAGTGAAAAATTCCGATGTTGCTCTGCTGGTCCAGGCTGTTAATACTCTTGTTCCTCCTGCGGGCCCCCTTCGTCAGGTATCACAAAGCCTTCATCTGTGGTATAGAGAATGTCCACAATCCTCTGCAATACAAGGTTGTTTTCCCCCTCGTTCTCCTGGCAAATCAATTCAATGTTCTTTAGCTTTCCAAAGTAGAAGTCTCTCTCTCCACGCCTTCGACATGAAGTTTCAATACTCTGACCTGCTGCATTATTTGGCTGCTTTGTCATCCCCATTGCCCAAACCAGGATTCTTTCATACCACACCCAGGCCAGCCTTAGGTGTTGCAGTAGTGCTGTGTGTTGCAGTGGGCCTCTATGGAGCTGCACTGATAGAGCTGAGAGGTTTCTTCGGTTTGTTCAGAGCTGGAGCAACAAGGAAGGGAGCCACTGCAGTTTCTTGACCTTGTCTGGCAGCTATAGAGTCATAGTCTTTTCCATCATAGTTTGCATCAATAACTTCTTGAACCACTGAACAAATTCAAAATTATCTTGAAACTGTCTTTTTACTAATTTGTCCACAGGAATTATTTTGTCAATATCCATCCTCTTAAAACCTGCTTATATTTTGAAGTTCTAGATGTATTCATGTTCTAGCGTAGCTTGGAATTTCACTTTCTTCAAGGCAATGGAGCCAGGAACAGCATGTCCATAAGCAGACAATAGGCAACCCCTGAGCACAACTGTTCTATCTTTGTCAAATGCAACTGCAGAGACTTATGGATCTAGGCCAGCATGTCATGTCGACTTAGGTTATCACTAGTGACTGAAGTTGAGTATACGTTCACTGCCATCTTCACCGCCATCTTCAGATCTTAGCAAACCGTGTTCACTGCCCCGTGCGGGCTCCAGTTCTGTCTTCCTCTCCTTGAAACCGCCAGACCCTGCTTGACCCTGCCCAACCGCGCAACAACCTCATGTGTACACCCCCCACACCCTATTAAGCACCTACGTAAAGAAATTTTTAAAATATTAAAGTTAGTCTACAGCTATGCCACTCTGAACATGCTGGATCCCGTCTGATCTCAGAAGCTAAGCAGGGTCGGGCCTGGTTAGTACTTGGATGGGAGACTACCTAGGAAGACCAGGTGCTGTAGGCATATTAAAAAAAAAAAAAATTTAAAGTTAACAACGCTGTACATATCACACAAATTAAACAGAACATCACCAATATCTTGGAAGGCCCTGTGTGCCCCTAACAGGTTGCATCTACATCCTTCATACTCAAAGGTTAACAACCATTCTTAAATGGTGAAAATCACTTTACCCTTAAAAAAAAGGTTTACCACCTTGCCTATTTAAACAACATATTTGTATTAAGTTTTTTGACTCATAAGGTTATATATTACTTTAGCTAATTATTATGCATCTGATATTCATCCATGTTAATGTGTATCCTTGTAGTTCATTCACTTTCACTGTTGTGTAATATCACACTGCATAATTTATACAATGTAGTATTGATATTCACTGAATTGTTTTCAGTTTGGGACTATTACTAATAGCACCACTATATAGTCGTGTACATATATCCTAGTGCACATGTGCACAAGTTTCTCTTGGGAATATTGCTAGGAGTCCAATTTCTGGGTTGTAGAATGTGTTCATGTTCAACTCCTATTGTTTCACATCCTAACAAACAGTATTATCACACTTTTGCCAGTCTAATGAGTGTTTAATGGTATATTGATATGCTTTTTATTTTCCTTGCCTTTGTTACTAATGAGATTTTCTTTTCATATATTTATAGGCTATTTGAGTTTCTTTCTGAAGTGTTTGAATTTTTTCCCATTTTTCTATTGGGCTATGTATATTTGTCTTATTATACTAGTACTTTTATTCTGAATACTATTCCTTTGTCAGTTGTTTATGTTGCAACTATCTTCTCTCAGTTTATGGCTTGTCTCTTCACCCTATTACAGTGTTTTTTATGAACACAGACTCTAAACTCTATATTCTTTTCTGTTTGTACTTTTTGTGTCTTTGTGTTTAATTCTTCCCTACCCTGGGGTCATAAAGGTATCCTATATTATCTTCTAAACTGAAGCTTTAAAGTTTTGCCTTTCACATTTTGGTCTTTAACCAACCTAGAATTAATTTTTGTGTGTATTATCAAGTAAGAGTTCAACTTTATTTCTTTCCATGAAAATAACCATTACCATAACAAAAAAAAAATTATAAGTCCATAAATTTCCCAATATTGTAGTGTTATGTAACACTACAATGAGTGTTATATAACAATCTTTTGTGTGTCTCTGTACTTAATTAGTGTAGCTTTATAATAAGTCTTGATATCTGGTAAGGTCTCACCACCTGTTTTTTTCCAAGTGTCCTGCTGACTGTGCAACCCAGGCTGTTGTCATGGCGAATCAGAACATAAAAGTCAAGGGGAGGCTGCAGCAGCTCTTCAAGTATGGCCAGTTTGCCATCCACTGGAGCTTTATTCCACTTGTGATTAATGGGGTTTAAGAGGGGTGCAGATTCTGGAATCCCTAAATTAACTGTTTTAGGCCTACTTTGGGAATAAAGAACTATTTGGTCATCTGGATTTGGAAGCAATCAATGGATAGCAATGACATGGGAGATTTGCATTCCAGCTGGGATAAGAGGTGGGACATCATTTGTACATTCACCAGTTGGATGGCACAGGGTTCTTACTACACAGATGCATCTGGAGCAGAGTGAAAATTCTATCGACTTATTTATGATAGACTATCACAAAGTAAGTATTTTAACAATGTTTTTAAAAAGCATCTTGTCTGTTCTTGGACCTTTGACTTTCTGAATGATTTTAGAATTAGTTTACCATATAAAACAATAACAAAATCTGTTTAGTTGCCATTGCATATAATCTACAATCACTATGGGAAAAATGGACATCTTACAATATTGATCCATACATCTGACACATTGATCCATACAAAACAATTTACCAGAAAACAGCTGATCCATATATAACCTGACATATTACTAGAAATTAAAGACTGAATGATTTTTTAAGTATTTTAATACTGTAGTAGCTCTTTTGACTCTACTTAACCAATTCAATAGGTTAACTGATATAAAATATACTGATTGCAAAGGTACACTGAACACTCTCAACTAGAAGACATCTAATATGTCTGTGTACTTCTGCTCATTAGTTGCTGCATATCAAGAATTAGTCATGTTTATACCCAAGTGTATTTATGCCAATTATATTTATTAATTACACAATACTATGTAAATCACTAAAATATAAGTGAGAAAGAAATGCACAGGAAAGATAAATACTACATTCAGGATTGAGATCTGAATAGATGTTACGTATGGAATGTATCAACTGAATTGGTAATGTTTCACTTCTTTTGCTGGGTGTTGGATACATTGATGTTTGTAATACTTAAACTCTTTACATTTCAAATATTTCATAATATTTTAAAATAATTGTTTCTATGAAAATTAAGTCGAATGCCTTGGAAAGACATGTTAAAAGCAAGTTGTTTTAAAATTATCCTTTCGGGTGCGAGAGAAATAAAAGTGAAGGAAAACCACAAAAATTTAGTAGTTTTGTGATCAAATTGCTTCATGAGTATCTTTAAATTAATTATAGTATTTTAAAGAAACTTAAATAATCACTATTGGTGTGCTTTTAAAAATATACTGCAAAACTCCAAGCAGCTGAATCATACTCAAAGGCCTTGCCCTACAATCAGAAAATTAGCAAATGAATTTCTAAGTATCTTTACATGTTTTAGGTCAACATAAAATGTTTATGATGACTCTTTCTAACAGTATTTTTAAACTATGTAACCACCTTTAGTTTCAATCATGTTAGATATGAGGGCTTCTAGTAGAAAGTATGTCTGTTGAATCAAATTACCAAAGAATGCACTATACACTTTAGTGCATGATAAAATAATTATTTTTCCTAATTCTTTGAGGCTTCTTAGGTGGTCAAGACATGATGCTAATGTTAATGGGGCCAAGCTTTCCATTTCCTGTCTATACTCTATAGCCTTGAAACCTGATCTTCTATAAACACAAAAAGAAAAAACGAGGTTAAAGAGTATTGATCAGTATATCAATAATATTACAAAAACTATTTAAGACTGCATATCCTTTGAAAAATCTGTACGACTGAACAAGTTTAAAAAGCATTTATATGTCCGTTATATAAAAAAACAAATGAATAGAAAAAGGAAATATCCAAAACTTATCAGAAGAGATTTAAATTTTTTTTATACTTCTTTGTATTTACCAAATTTTCTCCAATAAGAATGAAAAGTTCTATTTTTAAAAAACTAACTATCTATGACCATGCCACCCTGAACACTCATGATCTCGTCTGATGGTGAAGTTACGCAGGGTCGGGCCTGGTTAGTACTTGGATGGGAGACCACCTAGGAATACTGAGTGCTGTAGGCTTTAAAAAAAAAAAAAAAAAAAAATTAACCTTTAAAACTATATGTCTTAATAATAATGGTGCTATTTTTAATTTAATACTTATAAATATCAGTTTGGTAAAACTCATTACATCTTTTAAAACTCTGAAGATAACTTTATAAAACTAAAAGTAACCTTTTCCAGAAGTAATCTTTAAAGTATTAAAGAAAAGACTGCCATGCTGAAGATCCATCATTTCTCCCTTCAATCTGTCTGCGGCGATATCAACAAGGGTGAGTTCGTCAGTCAAATCCTAAAATACATGAAAGTTCTGAATAAAATTTTCTGGAAAAATGTTCCTATTTAAGTTTTATGAGAATTGAGAAAAAAATTTATGTAGCTACTTTATAGTCAAAGAAAAGTTATATTTTTAATAGAAAAGATGATATAAAACTGGTGTTTTTCAAATATGCCTAGAGTAACCAGAAGTCAAGGTAAACAACAGAATGTAGCAAAACATATTAATTGCTTTGCCTTAATATAATTGTTAATCTTTTTAGAATTGGGTTTTTTCCACTTCAGCTAACAGTTCAAAACCAATGAAAAGTTATGAAATTCTTTCAAAAGATTTTATTATATTTAATCCTATGCCTAATTTCTGAATTGGCTGAAACTGTTTTTAGAATGCATCCTAATGGCCAAAATAGAAAGGAAGCCACCTGTAGGAACCCATTCTATGTGGTTCAGTACAGTACAATTAATGTCAGTCCTCTAACCTAGGGGTAGATGAACATATAACCAGACCCAACTAATTGTTCCATTCTTCCTTCTGGCCACAGTCATTAGTTCATAAATAGGCACATGGCCCAAGCATAACAAATGACCACAAAGCCTATGAGGTTTGAAAATGGAAGATGAGAAATTAAAACTAATTTTTCTTTGAAATCATAAGCTCTAAGAATGACATAAGACTCTAAGAACAAACTGTATACCATATTTACCATCACACAGAAAGACCCTGACTGAGAATTAAGCCAACAGAGGAACTATAAACCAAGATATACAGAGACTGTGTATGGACATGTCTGAATTCCAGAATTTAGTAGTACCTGAAGCTAGCTCTACTCTTAGATGTTCTAGTTATATGAACAATATATTGTCTCTGTATTGCTTACTCCAATTTCAATTGAGTTTTCATCACACATACAGAATATAGAACTATATAGGAGTATATTCCTTCAGATTCCAGTAGCCAGATTTCAAAGGCGAGCAGTAAAGGAAAGGTATTAAAGTCCCTATTTAATAATATTTTTTCTCATATCAGGTATCATCTGGACTTTTTGGAAAACTGTAAATTCTAAAATTTACTAAATTATGGGTTACATATCAGAAATAGGAGGAGGACAAGGAGTTTCACCCAGAAGGATCAAGTATCACTTTTCGGCTAACTGATAAAAAAAAAAAAAAAAAAAATCTTTTTTTTTTTTTTTTAAATCAGTCTGTGTATAGGTCTGGACAGGAAAACAGAAACCAATGTAAGCATTTCAACAAAAGGAATTTAATATAGGGAATTGGTTAGACAAATGCTGTAGAGCTGAAAGAGCAAAAAGGTAACACTTGAGGTAACCCAGAGATAGTAACTGCAGTTTGAAATATCACACCTACACCTAAGGCTGAAGAAAGAGAGAGACTAAAAGAGATGCTTCATGAGACTAGTCTCAGAACTCTGGCTGCTGCTGATACCACTGAAGGGGCATGGTGAGGCCAATGCTGGGAGTTGTAAAAGAAACTGGAGGCTAGAACCAACTTCTACCATTAGAGCAAAGGGCAGCTGCTGGGATGACTGTGACCAGAACAACAAACCATAAGGAAGAAGGAAGTCACTGCTCTCCTCCAGCCTTCCTACTTCCCTCTAGTGCCCCTATTGAAAGAAACTAACAAGATGCCAAATGGCAAAGGAGAAAGAGATTAAGGAGAAATCCAGCACCAGTATCACAAAGCAGAGAAAGTTGGATTTGGAGCTGAATGACAATAATAACCAACACAGCCTATTTCTAAATTATATTATGACTGATTTATTTCCCTTCTCAACAGGTTACCAGACAATTCTCTTATCAAGGGAAACTTCCCAGCTCCATTTGTCTTGACTGTCAAAGACAGAACTCAAAATAATCCCTAAAAGTTTTTGTTAACTATATCTCTGAGGGTCATTTCTTAAATAGAGCTCCAAATAGAGACTCTGGGCTTGTTTAGCCTTTCTGAATCTTTTAAGAATAGTTATGAGCATTCTAGGAACTTTTCTCCAGGGAGTTCCAGAGCAACCACAGTAAGGTAGAGAGCAAGAGACTAAAAATCAATCTAAGGAAAACAGCTGTGGCCACTCTACTTTGTACAGGACAAGGAAGTAGGTTGTACAGCTAAAACCTTAGGTTGTACTCTTAAAAACTTTACATGTACTTATAAACCCTTTAAAGTCCACCTTTCAGTGACATATGTAGGTGTCATGGTCCTCATTACAGCCTATATATCCCTTTAAGTCAATGGGCTCCATTTTAATATCCCTTATCACTTCCTATTTATTCCACAATACATATCAATGTGACCTGAAGACAAAGTCCTGAACTACTCTGCTTCACTTGGGTATCTGCCAGAATACAAGAGATTCTAGTAAAAAATAAATGGGCTTGAACAAATGACCTTTCTCACAACTAGAGTTCTGAAATGTCCGATAATATGCCTTGGAGTAGGCTTTTTGTGATTCATTGTGCTGAGCACTCAGTGAATTCTTTATATCTGCAAAGTCATGCCCTTCGGTTTTGGAATTGTTTATCTCTTAAATAATTTTCTTCCTGCTCTTTCTTGTTTTGTACTGAAACATCAGTCAGCTACTGGATCTCCTGATTGATACTGTAAGTTTATCTCTATTCTATATGTCATCTTTCTCTGACAGTCTGCTTTCTAGAAGCCAGTAGGAGGATTCTTGCCTCACTGTCTAATATGTAGATTTTCAATGCATTCTACTGCTTTCAATAAAATGTCTGTCCTCTACTGTCCTTAATGTCTTGAGTGCAGAGCCTGTCTGATTCAATTTCTTCAAAGAATTAACTGCTTCCCCTTGTCTGCTGGGATGTGAGAGGTGGTTGCCTAGTTGATTAAGGTGGAAAAGAGAATCTGATGGCTTTCCTTTTCATCATATAAACTTCTAACCAATCCCTCCTGTTATTTGTCTCATCCATCACCTCCACCTTGTGAAGCAACTGGTAATTCCGATTACTGGGCCTTTCTGGAATTTAACTGGCTTTGCATCTTCTAGTCATATCTCTTTACAGGGTTCCAAAAATTGTCTAAATAATACAGAAAAGCTTTTAAGAGCACAGGATATGTGTCCGGATTGCCAAGATCTGAATTCTGGCCCCTTCACCTACTAGCCATTTGACCACGGGCAAGCTACTTAACATCTGTGCTCTAGTATTCTCACATAAGTGGAGGATAATAGTACCTACCTCCTAAGGTTGTTATAAAGATTAAATAATACCTTTAAAACATTTAGAGAGGCAAAAGACTTATACACTGAAAACTATAAAAGGTTGCTGAAACAAATTAAAGAAGACAAAAATAAGTGAAAGGACATCCCAAGTTCATGGATTGGAAGGCTTAATATTGCTAAGATGTCAAAACTACACAAAGTGATCTATACAGATTTCATGGAACTCCTATCGAAATCCTAATAGCATTTTTTTTTTAAAGAAATAGAAGAGTACATTATAAAATTTACATGGACTCGAGGGACTCCAAATAGCCAAAACCACCTTGAAAAAAAACAAAGTTAGTGGTTTCGTCCTTCCCAATTTCAAAACTTACTACAAAGCTACAGTAATCAAAATAGTGTGGTAATAGAATAAAGATAGACATATAGAGCAATGGGACAGGATAGAGAGCCCTGAAATAAACCCTCATGTATACGGTCAAATGATTTTTGAGGGTTTCCAAGATGAATCAATGAGGAAATATACCATCAAATGGTACATTTACATGCAAAAGAATGAAGCTGGATCATTTACCTTATACCATATACATAGTTAATTTGAAATAGATCAAAGATCTAAATGTAAGACCTAAAACTATAAAACTCGTAAAACATAGGAGAAAAGTTTCATGACAATGAATTTGGCAATGATTTTTGGCCATGATATCAGAAACACTGGCAACAAAAGTAAAAGTGATATATTGAATTACAGTAAAATTAAAAACTTCTGTGCATCAAAAGACACAACAGAGTAAAAGGAAACATACGGAATGAAAAAAAATATTTGAAAATCATGTACCTGATAAGTGGGTTAATATCTAGAATATAAAAAGATCTCCTACAACTCAACAACAACAATAACCTAATTTAAAAATGGGCAAAAGGTTTAAATAGACATTTCTCCAAAGAAGCTATATAAATGGCCAATAAGCATATGAAAAAATGCTCTGGAAATGGAAAGTAAAATTAAAGAACTTTCATTGTTATTTTATTAAATTTGGTACTTTTTATTTTTCAATGAGCATGTAATACTCGTACAATTTTAAAAAATTTAAGTATAAGCCATTGAGAAATATTATTTTCACCCATTACTCTTCAAGAAAGGCAATTTGTGGATCATTTCAACAGACGTTATAATATTTAATAATCCAATCAATGTGCCTCCTATGAATAAGTCTAAAATAGTCTAGCAATGCCTGACACGTAGTAAACCCCTAATAAATGATCCTTAAATTGTGTTAAAATCAGATGAGAGGATACATATTTGCTGTCAAGGGATTAGCCCTGCAACCCTGAATTTACTAACATCTACAAGACCTAAAAGTGCTTACTTGACATTCGGCCACAGCATGGCCTTATCACTTACCTTCAATAAGATACAAATAGCACAAGCCATGCCTACAGCACCAGTTCCAACAATGGTGATCTTCCGCTGGGAAATTTCATCATCCTCAATTAGATTCTCAATAAGCTGCTCCTTGACCGTTGACATTTTGAGAACCTGATAAGGATAATGCAATTTCAGTGGAGTCAAACTCCCTAAATTAATCACCCTCATAGCTACCGATGTACTTAACCATATTGAACACCTAAAAACTACCCGCTGAATTTGCAGAAAGTTTGAGAGAAGCCAAAGAAAGAATTTCTTGGTCAAGGGTGTGGAGCGGTAGCGCAAGGCCAAGTCTATCAATGGTAGAGTTGTGGCATCAACGGCCTTTTGATTTCTCCCTGCCCTCAGCCACCATTTTCGCCCAGTACCAAATGCTCACAAATGCTCTGCTTCGCGCAACTCACCGCCTTTAAGGAAGATTTTTTTTAAAATAGTAACTCCAGAAAAAAATTGCAACGTCACCTGAGCTGCGAAGCCAGGAGACGGTTACTCGCCAGACCGTTACGTGAGCACGCTCCCACTCGCGTCAGCACGCGCGCTCCGCCCCGCCCCCGGCCGACCCACGCGCAGGCGCACGGGCAGACACGCTCGCCGTCTTCTCAGAGTTAGCGGGTTTTTGGGATACATGTGGGTACATCCTCATAATATCCGTGTGGGGAATGCTAGACGATTTGGGAATGTGCAAGAAAGGGTATTGGAGTGTTATTTCCTTCAGCCGGCCTAGGCCTGGGATTGATTTTAGGGTCGTGGCGTCTTTGGAGCCCCCACTACCACCCGGCCAGGCTCGAAGCCCAGTAGGAAAGAATCCTCCTGGGAGCATCTCCTAGTCTTAGAGGGATGTTAGCTTAAAACAGCATCCTGCAGAAATTACTTCCCAATCCTGAGGTGCCAGTGGTTGGTTGAGGTAAGATGGGCAGCTAGTTTGAACCGTCCTAACTTGCTTCTTTTGGAGAGAGCATGTTAAAGGGACCCGGGCCCCAAGAATGAAAAGAAATTTAAGTGTAGACTTGGGATTGACCAACCTGACTTCGAGGAACATACTTTTTGATGCACTTATCCCAGCTTTGTCCAGGCATTCCTTTGCAGGAATTTGAAAATTTATTAAGCTCTGTAACACAAGGGTGAATGCTGAAATAAAATGAGAACAGGATAGTAATGAAAAGGAAAGGCCGGGTCTGGTTTTCTAAGGGTAATTTTAATTTATGCCAAGAATGTATTTATAACCCACAACAGGACACAACCTCCCCTGTCATCTTTTGTCCTTTGCATTTGAATCATTTTCAAAATCTAAACGTTAATTCATTTTCTGTATCAAAGCCTATAATTTTTTAAATATAGTTCCGATCATTCAATAACACTGCGTAAAATCCTTTAATAGCTCTCTATTAGAGTTAAAATAACCAATTTTTACAACCTAAAAGACATTGAAAATTTTGCCTCCTTCTGCCCCTACTCCTTCTGCAACTTTATCTCAAAACACTCTTACCACATTCTCCCCAGCTTTTGACAGTTTTTTCTTGGCTCAGGACTTTTTGCTCTTCCCTATATCTGGAAAGCTCTTCGCCAGCCCTTCTCAGAGTTCATTCTTCATTTTCAGTTTTGAGCATCTTCTAGCTTTCCTTGACCAATGTGTCAACCACCTCGCTACATATCTTATAGCACTTTCTCTCATGGCACTTTCATAGCCTACTACTGTTGCAGGATTCTCGAACAGAGAGATAGGACATCAAGGCTACTAGCAGGAAGCAGTGTTTATTGATGCCAGCACTGGCTCAGCGGATTCTTATCCAAAGGCTGAGCCCTGATTGTAACATAACGGGCAGTTTTATATAGTCTTGTCATTCCTACACAGCTACAGATATAAGGAAGAACATTGATTGGTTGGCAAGCTATGAGAAAACTGATGTTAGCCAAAGAGTCCTTGGGGTGGAGGGGAGGGCAGTCAGGAATGAACTCATTCAAGCAGGAAATGGCCAGGCAGGGTCAGGCTGCCACATTCCCCACTTTGATGCTCGGTCTCAGGACTGGGTCAGAGAGCATCATCTCCTTCTTTTAATTTTTGGTTTAGGGGCTGATACCTCCACAGCATGAGGACTTATGCTGCAGTTTTTCTTTCTACTATAGCCTCTGTGAGGGAGGTGGTTGATCAGATAACAAGAGGCAATAGGCATGGGAGGAGGAGGCAGGTCTAGAGGAGGAGGACTACTATCCCAACCACAGTCTTAAAGCCACCAAAAGTGGAGAATCAGCCTCCAAAGAGGTTAGTAGGGTCCTATCCTTTCCAACTTTGGACAGGCACATGAGCTATTTTCCTAATATTAGTAGCTATCGCAGTCACAGCTTTGCCATTGTCATCTATTTTGTGGCAACAATCAGTCTGGTTAAACTTTCTGCACATTCCTCCTTCTGCTAATAGATATCTAAGGCTAGGCAGTTTTGGTAGATAGCTGACTGCATCTGGAATTGTCACCTGGCTAGAAGCTCTAAGGCAGTTGTCGTCTCATTGGTTATGATCTAAAGAACTGCTTGTAATCTAATGATCCAGTTAAGCATGTATGTAGGGGTAACCTCAGCTCCCATCTTGGGCCCAAGTTGCGGGACCATAGTATTGGATAATACAGTGGGGCAGCCACTTATTCCCCCCCCACACACACATTTGTTGCCCCCCTATTTCAAGTGATCTCTTAGTTCTGGCCTTTAAATCTTGATATAGGGGAACACATAGCTCATTTCTTCCTTGGTCAGGTAGAAGGAAGAAGCTAGGCTGAATATTCCTAATGGTGCAACTTCCCTTCCAGTTCATTGGTAGCTGAGTATAAGCCCACTTTCCACAAATCCAGAAGAGCCCATTGGGCACTTTCCAGTTTAGGGGCTGGTGGAATTGAGGTTTTCCCAGAATGTGCCAATAGCTAGGATGGTGTGGAAGGGTTTAGGGGTTAGTACAGCTTGTGACAGTTGAGTTTTGGTTGAGAGAGTGGCACAAGGAGGAGTTAGCTGCAGTATTATTGGCCCAATACCAGGAAGGAGACTTGGGCCACCAGTTTAGGTCTGTGTGATTTAAAAATAGCATTCTTTTACATGGGGTTTCTCCAACCCACTGAGTGTATCCTGGACCCATCCAGCCAAGACATTCTTCCCCTACCACTTCAGAGGAGAGGACCAAGCTCTGGGGTCAACCCTCTTCACAGTGAGCCACCATGTGGTTCCACTGGAGAAGGTAAAAAGCATCTAGGCTAGTTCTCTTCCAAGGCCAATGTCCACACATGAGTGCTCCTCCACAAACCCAGCATTTAGAGACTGCAATTTACCCGTCCTTGAACTTCCACCATCCACCGGGAGGAGGCTCCCCTCTTCAGTCTTAAACCAGGCTTCTTCTTGAGGCGAGTACTTGGGGTCCCTTTTGGCTAAGGGACTGGGAAACAGGGAAGCAGTTAGAGCAGTAGGGCTGGCCGTCTCCTTGGCCGCGGCCAGTTTGGCAACATGGTCTACCCTGCAGTTGCCCCAGGCCATTATGGTGTCCCATTTTGATGTCCTCTGCAGTACATGACTGCTACTTTCTTGGGGGCCCACACAGCATCTAAGAGTTCTAGAATGTCCTTTCCATATTTTATGTATTTTCCCCCTGAATTGATTAGGCCCTTCCTTCTCTTTGTACAGGTCTCCATGTACATGGAGGGTGATGAAGGCATACTTAGAGTCAGAGTATATGTTAGCACACACTCCTGCTGCCAGCTGAAGGGCGCAGGTCAAGGCAATGAGCTCTGCCTTCTGTGCTGAGGTTCCCTTAGGCAGAGGTTTCGCCTCAGAGGTGGAATGTAGGGTCACCTCAGCATATCCCGCAAGGCGTTCTCCCCTCACAAAGCTGCTACCATCAGTGTAATAGTCCACATCAGGGTCCTTGAGGGGCTGGTCTGTGAAGTCAGGTTGGCTGGAAAACACTTCATCCATGACTTCAATGCAATCGTGGTCTGGCTGGCCGGGCCCAATGGGTAGTGAGGTGGCTGGGTTCGGGGTTTGTAGTACCTCTGTAAGCCAGCTACTCCAAGTAATTCGTTAGGTGGTAGGGACGGCAATTGAGCATACCGTTTGTAGTACCTCTAGGCGGATGCCTGGATTCTCGCAGAGCATTCTTGGTATCTGACCATCTGGGGATTAGTTAGCCAATATTGTCCCTTTTACTCCAGTAAAGCTATTACTGAATGTGGTATTCGACCGTCAGTTCTTGCCCCATAGTCAGTTTGTCAGCCTTTGACACAAGGAGGGCCGTGGCTGCAAGTGCTCGGAAGCAGAGTGGCCAGACCTGGGCGACAGAGTCAAGCTGTTTGGAGAGATAAGCCATGGGACAGAGCCAAGATCCTAGCAGTTGGGTTAAGAGCCCTACTGTGACACCCTTGCGCTCATGTACATACAGAAAGATTTGGTTAAATCTGGGAGTTTTAATCCAGGGGCGTTAGTGAGTGCCCGTTTGATTTCTTCAAAGGCCTTCTGTAGAGTCACAGAGTAGGAGCTCCCAATCTCCCCACTTTGTGGCTTCATAGAGGGGTTTGGTCAGGATGGAGAAATTAGGTATCCAGATTCTGCAGAAGCCAGCTACTCCGAGTAATTCGTTAGGTGGTCGGGACGGCAATTGAGCATACCGTTTGTTTCCTTTCTGGGCGCTGTCTCTGTGACAGGTGGAAGCCGAGGTATTTGACTCTGCAGATTTGAGCCTTCCTTTTAAAGACCTTGTAACCCACTTACCAAAGGAGATTGAGTAGATGCATTCCTTTCATGCATTCCTCATAGGTCTTTCCTGTTAGGAGGAGGTCATCTACATACTGGAGTAACATACAGCTGTGTTGGTTTGCTGGGAAGGACTTTAAATCTGAGGCTCAGCGGATTCTTATCCAAAGGCTGAGCCCCAATTATAACATAACAGGCAGTTTTATAGTCTTGTCATTCCTACACAGCTACAGATATAAGAACATTGATTGGTTGGCAAGCTATGAGAAAACTGATGATAGCTGGAGAGTCCTTGCAGGGGGAAGGGATCCTGTCAGGAACGAACTAGTTCAAGCAGGAAATAGCCAGGCAGGGGTCAGGCTGCCACACTACCAGCCCCAAGCAAGAGGTTCCTACAGTAGTCAGGAGTGGCAGCTGCTGTTGGTCCTGTACTACCATTTACTGTGTGTGTGCTTCCTTCCACAACTCCCTGCCCTTGTACCTCATTTACCATGGGACTGACAGGGAGATAGTGCAGGCCTGGATAACCTCCACACTCAAGCTCTACACCTGCCTCATGCCCTGGTGGCCAAAGGAGCTATCATCTTGGTAGTGACCAAACTCCTGCTCTAAGAGGCTCTTCATGGGTACCTGCCCCAGGCACAGGGGACTTGGTGGGCACTTGATGTCCTCCCTGTCTGAGTGGGTTCTCTGGGTGGCTGTGATCCAAGCTAACTTATCATTTTGCTTTATTGTAGCTTTGTACAAACAGAAGAACCAAGATTTGTCTTGCATAGTCCAATATCTACCAAAGTATGGTAGGCACTCAGCAAAGAATTTGAAAGAATATCACTTTGAAGTCCTGATAGTTTTCTTTTGGTAAGATGGGCTTTAGTGGAAAAAGAAATATGCACACAGAGACATAGGCCTATCCATCTATATCTATCTATCTATATAGGAGGAGGACCATGTTCTGAACATCCCATTTGCTTCCCCCACTAACTTGCAACTTGTGAGGTAGGGCTTAATCTACTTCCTAAAGTATTAAGATTAAATGAGATCAGATTCCATTAAAAAGACTCAGGGCTCCTTGCAGAATTGGCCTATTCCTTGCCTGGGACAGAAAGATACATACGTTAACCTGGAACGCTTACTGTGCCAGAAAGCAAGAATGCTTTACAAGATTAAATCTGAAAATTCATAAAAGATTAGTTTAATGAAGCTCTTAAGCATTATTTTTCAGTCATATTAGTGTTGACTAATTTATTATATCAAGCAATGTATAACTAATAAATGTAAATATATTTTTCAAAAAAAGACTGAAGGTGCCTCAGCTTAAGGCTGTAGGAATAAGTACACATTTATTGGGTAATTAAAAAGTCCTAAGATTAGATAGTGGTAATAGTGCACAACTATGTGAATCTGCAGAACTGTACACTTTCTTTATGGTAAATTATATCTTAAAGTTGTTTTTTAAGCTTATAGGAGAGCAATCCTATAATAGTTGTCAAGACTACATGGGTCAGTCTCGTTTTTATATTCAAGACATTTTTTTAAAAAGTGTAATCCTTTCTCTTATCTAGCTCTCAGGAAGAAAACTTTGGGAAAATATCCTGGAGAAACGTCAGTGAAGTTCTAGTTAACCTCTAAAAGCAGTTTTTAGGCCTGTATAAGGATCATAGTTATAGAAATATTGAGGAAATCTATAGAAAATTTTTGAGTAATCCTCCGCCAGGACTATTTTAAAATTATTAAGTAAAGCAGCCCCCCCTTATCCGTGGTTTTACTTTCCATCGTTTCAGTTACCCTGGAGTATGAAAATATTAAGTGGAAATTTCCAGAAATGATTCACAAGTTTTAAATTGCACTGTTGAATAGCCTGATGAAATCTTATATCATCCTGCTCCATCCCACCCAGGGCCCTAAAGTCATCCCTTTGTCCAGCTTATCCACGCTGTATACACTACTCACCTGTTAGTCACTTAGCCACCTCATTTATCAAATCAACTGTTGATATTGCAGTGCTTGTGTTCAAGTAACCCTATTTTACTTAATAGTGCCACATTCACATAATTCTTAGTGTTATAAAAATCTGTGTCCCCTATAGTGGCAAAGTACCACTGCTTGTTCAGTTGGCAAATAAAATTTTTTACATTTGTATACATAGTGTTATCTACACCAGTTGTAGGGTACCAATTATAATTAGCACTATTAGTTACATAATACCTGGGGGCTTAGTGCATTAAAATAAATTATAATGAAAATATCAAAAACGACCTAGCCATCTAGTCATACCCTTAATATATCAATTCACATTAAACTAAAGTCTAATTAGTAAATAGTACCCTTTAAAAATCATTGCAGGGTTGTTCAAGAATAACCTAATGGCTCCCAATAATGCAATGAATAGCAGCTTTATGACTTTCTATCTTAATACAACAAACTTACAGAGTAGTCACTGTTCAATGTTTATTTATTTGATGTTTTAGTTGGTATGACACTTGGATATTTGGCTGCATTATTTATATGCACTTTTCTTTTTACAATATATACCAATGTACTCTACTCTGATACATACAGTACACAAAATAAGATCCTTTAGAACAGTAATGCACAAGACATGCAATGTTGGATTTACACACTGGATCCCAGGATGTGATTGACTGGAGGAAAAAAAGCTGGGCTAAGCATGAAGGGTAAAGAACCAGAAGTTATACAGTAAACGTATCTACTTTGAAGGGCACCTGTAGCTTGTGCAACACTGCCTTTGAGGAGGTGAAACTATTTCAAAGTAACCAGCTTAGGACTACACAAGATAAATACCATTCGGCATCAGGATATAGCTGCAGGGTTTTATGAACCATTCCTATTTCTAACTTTAGGAAACTAAAGTTTTTCCTAGACTGTCTTAATATTACTGCCTTAGTCATAGATCAGATAAAAAGGATAATATGCCCAACCTCCAACTAAAATCCTGTTGTATCCTAGACAGTGAAATGGTATGACATTAGAAGACTTTAAAACTGCAGCTCTTTTTGGATCCCCCAAAGTGTATCTGCACTCTTCTTCAAACGGGCCTCTTCCTCTGTTGTCAGAGTCACCTTCACAACGTCTGAGATCCCATTCTGTCCCAAGATGCAAGGAACACTAAGGAAGACATCGTCTTTTATTCCATAGAGACCCTGAAGACAAAATGAAAAGTATTTTGTTTTGTCTGTACATTCTGGTGTCTCTTAAGACTTTGTTCTCTATAATTATGACTTATTTAATACAGCATGATAAGTAGAAATTCTTTTCTATATTTTTAGTTGGGAGGTAATGAACAGCGTAAAACAAAGTCACTAAAATAGCAGCAAGATTTCCATTCTAAAAGAAAATCTAAAGTATTGCCATTATCCATAGTACTTTCCAATTTTTAGTGTATTAACACTTCAATAACTCTAATTGGAATGTGATTTGTTTTTCCCAAAGGAAAAAAATCTGTTTCTTTTTTATTTTCCAACCGTCTCAACATAATTGAATAGTTTTTTAGTCAATAAATTGTCAAGTATCTATGTGCTGAACACAGTGCTAGTGGACATTAATCCTAAAACTCAATCATGTCTTTTCAAAAGACAAAAGTTGTCTATGGTCATGCCACCCTGAACAAGCCAGATCCCGTCTGATCTTGGAAGCTAAGCAGGGTCGGGCCTGGTTAGTACTTGGATGGGAGACCGCCTAGGAAGACCAGGTGCTATAGGTAAAAAAAATAAAAAAATAAGAGATTGTAAACTGACAAAGTCCTTGTAATCTGTTAAGTCAACCAAGGGTTGCCTCTCCTAAAAAAAAAAAAGTTGCAGGTACCTTAATTTACATCTTAAATTAATGACCAAGAACTTAATCTGCTTTCTCAGAAATATTTTTAAAAAACAGGAAATTAAAAATAAAATAAAAGACAGGAAATAATGCCCTTCAAGTACAACATATCACTACACAGACCTACCTTAATCATGGTGGAAATTGGATGCACCCGCCTAAGATTTTTCATTATACTTTCTGCCAGATCTGCCACAGACAGTCCAATGGCCCAGGATGTGTAGCCTTTCAGTTTGATTACCTCATAAGCACTACAGGGTAGGGAAGGGACAGGAAAAAATAGGGTGGGAAAAACAAAGAAAAACAAGCTTTCACTGAACATATCCTTTATAGTAAATAATGCCACAAAGTTGCATTATACACTTAAGAGTAACCCATGCCATGTATACCAAGATATTATGTATAGGGATATTCACAACAGAGTATTGTCAGTAATAGCAAAAACCTGGCAACGAGCCCAGTTCTCCAAAAGAAGAATAAACTATGGTATACTCATATAGAATATTACACATAGCTGCCAAAACAACTATAGTGACGTGCAACAAAATGCACGATTCTTAAAAACGTAAAATTGAATTTTAAAAAGTGAATCCAAGATTACACATAGCATGCTTGACTCAGGATTATCTCAAGTCTGTGTTTGTAGAGGGATGAGTAGAAGGAGCACAGAATTCACACATTTCCAAATACCAGGTGACTAGTAATTCTGACCCAACAAACATTAGTTGACAGTTACTGTCAATGTTTCTTGAGTTGGCTGGTGGGTTCACAGGTTTTATTAAACAAATACAAATAAGAGGGCCTTGCCTAGACCAATCATGATTCATTATTCAATTCAACAGACCTGAGGTCAGCACATGACCACACAATTTATAGTAAGGAAATAATGCCACTAAGTTGAAAGCTTATTTCAACAATTTCTAAGTTAATAAGTATCTACATTTTTAGTACCATTATGAATCTAGACATTACTTAATTTTATAATCATCTGAACAAGAAGCTGTGTTCCTAGTTATAAAAACTATAATAGGAACTTGAATTTAAATTTTCTTATTCCTAATTGAATCAATCATATATGCTATTGAAGACTGAAACTCAAATATGGTAGACTTAATCAAACTTGTTTTATCTTAATAGTTTACAATACAGGCTTCTAAATTGAGATTTATGGCAAAAGACTGTAGCATTAAAAGTCTTTAATTTTTAATATCTTTACATCTGTTTATGACTTAACAAATCTTTAGAAAACAAGTTTTCTAACAAAAGTCCTCAAATGCAAATGCTATGTTTTTAGTCTTTTAAATAAAAAATTAATTTTAATCTTTCATGTTACCGAACTATGAGACATATTACCTGGCAACCACCTGTTTGTGAACTTCTTTCCACTGTTCCTTATCTGTATCAGTGCCCAAATCAGGGTGCAGATTCTTCAGGGAGACACCAGCAACATTCACTCCACTCCAGACAGGCACTAAAAGAAACAGCACAGAGTACATTTATTTCCATGCACCAGCCACTCTACCCTGATGAATGGACATCTCATTGAGGTTGATCTAGTAAAATTGTCAATTTTTTACGCGATTTTTTTGAAAACAAAAAAGAAGTTATACTTACCACTTGAGTCTCCATGCTCCCCAAGGACCCACCCATGACAGCTTAATGGGTGAACCCCCAGCCTTTCTCCCATGAGATAACGGAACCGGGCTGAATCCAGATTGCAACCACTTCCAATAACACGGTTTTTAGGAAAGCCGCTTATCTTCCAAGCCACATAGGTCAAGATATCCACTATGAAGAAAACATTTAGGCAAAGATATTAGGTGAATCATTAGATAATAGCTACTTGAGATACATGGCTCTGTATGGATCTTGATAATGATCATAACCAATGTTTTTAATATTTTTAAACCTCTATACTATGTATAATATGGCAAAACGTTTAGTATCCGGGAAGTGTAGTTTAATGAAAATGTACTGTTTCAATCGAGAATAACAAATTATCCATAAACATCCCTTTTCCAAGATCTGCTTGCAAAAATAACTAATTTTAAAGTTCCAACTACATTAACAGCCATTGTATTCCTTCTAATGTTTTAAACTTAACTATTTTATAAAAACACAAATCCACTCTCAGGAGAAAAATGAAAAATGAGAATATGTGTATACAGAATAATTATACTATCAGGTTTACTCTAGCACATCTATTTTTATGGAATTAAAAATCTCACCTGGATTGGAAACAATAAGCAATTTGCAGTTGGGGCTGTATTTTACAACATTAGGAATGATGAATTTAAAGATGTTCACATTACGCTGGACCAAATTAAGACGGCTTTCTCCCTCTTGTTGACGTGCCCCAGCTGTGATAATAACCAGCTTGGAATTTGCAGTCACATTATAGTCTAGACAAAGGGAATAATCAGATTAAGACCTTTAAGAGAACTTCATTACCTAGCCAGCAAAAATTTGTTCCATAAACTTTTTTTATGGACAGTTTTATGTAATTGTGTATGTGGCAAAAAAATGTCCCTAACAGCCCCCAGACTCCTTTAGTTTTTGGAGTTTTATTGCTGTGGCCACTTACACGGAGAAGTACATCAACGTTTTCCTTGTAGTCTGGTTTTAGTCACATTGTGACTTTATGTAACTATAGTTGGGAGAAGCTGGAAGGAATCAAACTTACTTGACTCTTATTTCAAATAAGATACATTGCCAAGTTTTTTTGCCACTTGAGCTCAATGCTCATGCTGTTCTATACCCCTATTTCTACTAACTACTTAACTGTGGTCATATCAGCTAAGGGACAGGCTGCTATCACGCCCTCCCCATTTTTTTTTTTTTAAAGCAGAGGCATCTTTGTATCTATCAAGTACATCTTATTTCTAGATACCCTATGACACAGGGTAGTTAATCCAAGGATGAAGATAATGAAGGAAGTCACCTATCAGATACATGGTCAATGACTTTTCAAGTGTCAAAACAGACACGATTCGGGACCCCACTCAGGTTTCCTGGCTGGCGCTCATAAAAAATGTCAAACCAAGAATATCCACTCAACAAGCTCAATAAACCTATTCTCAATCTTAGTGCGCGAAAATAAGTAGGAAAAGTAAGTACATTTAATTTCAATATTTAAAGCACTGTGGTTAAAAATGGACCTATGGAGCTTTACTAATTATATTCTAACTCAGATGCTTTCCACATCATGGACAAATTAGATATCCATTTAAAACCACTTATAAAAAATTGAAACTTTGATATCAAGATATACCAATGCAAAATTGTTCAAAGGCTCTCTTATCCTGTATAAGAAAGAAATCTTTGAAGACCTAGGATTCTGAGCCTAATAAAGAATTAAGTCCATCATGGACTACAAAATAAACTTGAAATCAACCTTTGCCAGAGACAATTTTTGGTGTTTTAAGGAAAAGGCTGCCATGTTGAAGATCCATCATTTCTCCTTTCAGTTTGTCTTCTATGACATCAACAAGAGCAAGTTCATCTGCCAAGTCCTAAAAGATATAAAATTTTCAGTTAAATCAAAATTGCTTCCAAAGGTGACACCTCGAAAAATAAAAACATTTTTCATCTCCCCCCCCCAAAAAAAATCAAAAAATTACTACTTCCAAATTTTTAGAAGGGCATGCAAAATTTCCATGTTTCTGGTAAAGGAGCAGGCCCCATTTAAAAACTGATTCAAGATGATTCAAACATAGGAAGAAATACTGACCCTCTCTCCAATCCTCTTTGCTCACTGGAGCAACCTCTGCAGGATCCCCACCACCAAGTGGAAACAGAATGCTAGATGGGCAATGGCTAGAATAATGTCCAATTATGATCAGGTTACTCTTTCAAACTTAGTTCTACATACTAATTTTAGGTTGTCATTCATTAAATTAGTGCTATTGACCAGTACTAAGACTTGGAACTAAAAAGTGATACTCTGAATCATTCGCTGGTTCTGTTTTCTGTTTATTAACCAACTCTAACAATTTCACATAAAGATTTGTGCATTTCAAAATACTGGTGAAAAATATTCTTTTCAGTTGAACCTATAATTCCTAGGTGCATCTCAGACCAGGAGCACCAAAAATAGTTTTAATACAAATGGGATGTGGACTGTCATAACCAAAAAGGTTACACTAGCTGAGGCTGCAGATCTACCTCCAAATCATCTACAGTATGAGTGCTCTGGCAGTTACTCTTACTCATTCCTGAATTAGAGGACATCACAGAAGACCATAGGTGGTGTGGGAAAAACAGATAGCATCAACTTATGATTCAGTGGAGGAAGAAATAAGAGTTTATATATTTTATTGCCTCTCTTAAGAACACATATAGAGCAACCTGTGTTGCTCTGCAACCTCTGCATAACTCATTTCTGCTTTCAGCCCGTTCTCACTTGTCCTTTTCTGTTCAGAACCCAGAATTCATCATTTTACTCTCTTATCAGGAACTCCCAATCTGAACTTAGAACATTATTTTAAGCTGCCCCACTCTCTTTTTTATATAAACCAGGCTTCACTACTGTAAAAAGTGTTCTTTATTCATTCACAAGTTCTCTCTTTCTAATTAAACATTAGCTCCATAATGGGTACCAAAATTGCTATTAAAGGAGAGGGGCAATGGCGAGTTACATGGAAGGAAGACTTAAGATTTCTCACATTCAGGGTGATTTTAATTTTATCATACGTATGTATCACTTCCAATTGAAAAATCACTTTAAAATAATTTTAGC